TCATTATTGGAAACCATAACTACGTAACTTGTTTAAAATGGTAACAGTGAGAAACAAAACTGATTACAAGAAAGGAGGATGAAAAAGTTTAGGAAGTGGTAAACACTAGGTGCCAATCAACAAGATTTTAATTGACAGGGAAGAAAACCCAAAACCCAACTATTTTGGTCAAGATACAGACACAAAATATGTAGTACTGAGATGGAAACCACCTTTCACCCTCCACTGATTAGCCTGAAAGCAGATGCCTGAACCTGACTGTGGAAGAGACAATAATAAAACATCAAAAGTACAAAACTTGAAGCTTTCTGTTTTGCTTCCACCAGGTAAAAGACATAATCAGATCATGAAAAACTGAAAGGATCACCACAGCTGACCAACAGAAACATTAGGTTTATGCTAGAACTGTTACTACACTCTATTATCAGTGCCCTCAGAACTGTATTATAGGCATCACCAAAAAGATGCATATCCATCCTGACATTCAGGGAGTAAAAGAAAGCAATCCCAAGCTGTAACCCTGTTAAAAGACAGAGAGACAAGCTTCCAAAGCAGAGTTTTCACCTTCACATTTAAGAATGACTCTGCCGAATGCCCTGTCATGTCAGAACTACTAATACCAGATTCTTTTGTTCCAGCTTGGAGCAGTCAGATCTGTATGTGCATCCCCAGTTCTAGGCAAGTCATAGACTTTGATGCAATACTTAGGACTTCCTTAAAACCATCTGCTTTACTGAAAGGTTGAACTGATCCGTAGGCAGTCACTGATGTGATACGATTCACACTAAGTCTAGCGTCAAATGGTTTCCTTCATGTGGCGGAGATTTCCTGAGTCATTGCTATCTGTTAGAAAAGCATCATTACATTATTGTCTATCAGTTCTTGGACTCTGGACTCCTGTCAAACATACAAATGCTGTACATTCTAGGTAGACAGCTATAAGCTCTAGGACAAAAGTCAAGAAGACACCATGCAAATTACAAGATGGATTTAATGACTACTCTGTCCTTTAAAAGATCTAGCAATCACTGGAGTCTTCACAAGCAGAGAATAAAGAAGGGAATCCCTATATACACCTGCTATACATCTTCCCAAAAGCTTTATCAGGACAAGGTTTTTTTCAGAACTGTGATAAAATATCTTCATAGCATCTAATGGATGGTCAAATTTCAGCCATCCTCCATAAAGATTATAAATAAAGTCTAACCAACTATGTTAAATAAAGAGCTCAGGCTGCTATTAGCATTAGTATGCTAATACGGTATCATATGCTTCTACAGATTATTTTACATACCTATCTACTCATAACCCCAAAAGCTGGTGAGATTTTCTAAGCTGCTGCACAGCAGCAAAATAATACTCCAAAAACTTCATGCTCATTTTAAATTCCTGTATGTATGACAAGACCCTCAAAAGTCAACACCCTAAAATGGATTTGTCTGTCTTTCAAGTCAGCACTACAAATCACTCATGGTCAAACTGAAAATACTGGGTTTGTAATCAAACCCAGCCCTTGCCTATGCTTTTGCAGTATGGGTCCCATCCATGGCTCTGCAGCAATTTAAGTCCAGAATTCTCAAAAATCAAAGGAAGATTTGGGAAGATAGGAGAAGAAAGGGTAGAGGGCATACTAGAAAAGGACAGATACGTGACTAGTTCTGTGATTTTTTTTTAATTTAGTTTAATAACCCATGACAGAACAACTGAACTGTCCATTAGAAAGGTATTTCAGAACAAAACTTTATGCTCAAATTTAACAGCAGATAGCCACTGTGCCTCACAAGGGAATAAATAAAATTATCTAAAAATATCTAAGATTACTTCCTACATAGGTAAAATAAAAGACGGACCTGGATTCATTTAGAAGACGACTTTTTTTCCTTAAACTCAGAAAAATCAAAGGCAATGGAAATTATGCTTTCAGGGCTTGTGACTGAGTAAGAGAAAACTGAGTTCTCTAAGTCTGCTGTAATTGGCAAGTTAAACCGTATTTAGGCTAGGGAATACAATTTCTGTTTAGAGTAAGTTTGCCATTAAGAGAGAAGTTTGTACCATCTCATATCTCTGTGTTAGTGCTACAGATTTCATTACCACTGGCATCTGTAAATATCTGATGAAGTTATCTGCAATTCAGTTTTTCATCAGTTTAGAGAGGAAATGAAACTAGAAATATCAAAGACAGTCACGGAGAGAATTTGGAACTTATTTAATTATAGGTGTATAATTATCTAGAGTCTGCATCCCAATTCAACAGAAAACTTTATAGAAAAGGTTGCAGACATAATTGAAAGAATTATCAAAAAAAAGACATTAAGTGTAAATTGCAAATGTGTCCTCAGTGACAAAAGTATCACAGAAAAAAGGAAATAAAGATCATAGCTTCTAGGCCAGACAGGCTTAGGATAAAGATAGGTACTGAAAATTCAGCTGTTATTTCTTGAAAGCTCAGTGTACCCACACTAGAGATAAATACAAGGAGGACATTTCTGAAAAGCCATGAATATGGTAACAAGAATTTCTAAATTTAACAAGCTAGCATGTCAGGAAGGGTGGATCATTTCTTTCAGGCATGCCCTCAAGCAAGCAGCCTAACAGCTTCCCAAGTTGTAGCAAACTCTATGCGTTCCCCTTCAATCTTTAGAAAAAGGTTTTCTTTCCATCTTCTCTGAGATGTACTTCTGCTCCCTACTCTTCTCACCTCCTGCCTGGGCTGCAGGGGCACCACAGCCTGCTGATATCCCACACCTGTTCTGTCTGCTCTACCCTACCCTCAGGGAAAGCCCCAAACACACTCCTGCTACTCCCCAAGGCACAGGGCAACCACCATTCCCCAAAAGGTTCCAGATGACTCAGTGCAGCAGCCAGGACACAGTAAAAAAAACAATTTCTCATATGCTCAGCTACACTCTTAAAAGGAACATAACATTAATTACACAAATAAACTGCAAATGCACAAAACGGATGTCATCCAGCACAGAAACTGCTATCAATGGAAAGGATTCAGAAACCATGGGTCTTATGAGTACTGAAGTAACAGAAGACAGATGAAATCAAGTCTGAAATGCAGTCATATAGTTGGGACTAATGAGATTTCAGCTATAAACTAGGGGCTTATCAGTTGGAAGTGATAGAAAAGGAGAAGGAATTACATCTATCAGTCCACCATTTGCATCAACAAGAGGAACCTAAGGAAAAAAGAAGGAGTATCTTTTTGTTTAGATGGTGAGTTATTACTTCCCTTAAACAAGATCCTCTTGCAACATCAACAGGAATAAATTATCCATACGTAAGAAAGAACAACACAAGCTGAGTTCAGAAAAGGCTTTTTCAGGGAACAGGAAGACTGTGGAACATCTTTAAATAAAAAAACCTAAGAATTTACCTTCTAAATTTATAAAAATAAAAGCTGAAAGACTACAGGATTGCTGTCTATAAATGTGTAGCATAAATGCCAACCAGAACAAAAGGCATACTGAGCAGCAACACAGTAAACTTGCCACAACTAAATTTAGATCAGAAATTAGGTTATTAGCCATCAGAGGATGGATGCTGGCAACCTTGCAGTTTCTCAATCTTAAATTATCAGAAAGATTAAGATACTAAAGAGCACATAAGGACCTACCAAAAGACAGTCAACTCCTGTAGAACACATATCTAAAAAGTTTCCCAGTTCTTGGGAAAAACTGTATCTGTAAAATTCAGGTCAAGGTTCTCTCCAAAAAATTTGTAACTTTGACTTCAGAGTTCCATTCAGTAAATCCTGGGAGTCAAAATTACCAATTCAGACATGGCATAAGTAAGCAATGAACAAAATTTTTAACCTTAAATAAGTCAGGAGGAGTTAATTTTTTAACTCTATTATAATGCCCAAGAGGGTGAAGTCGTGAATTCTGTTTTGTTAATGGATTTCACCCCCCAGTGTTTTTCTAGTGGCCCACTAAGTTTCCTGTTCTGGTAAAGACCTAGAAACCAATAAACCAGTCTTAACCTTCCAAGAAACTGCCTGAATTTATAACAGAAGTAAAATAAATTATCTAAATAATTCATGTATGTTCTGTTGCCCATTATACTCTTAAATACCAAGTGACTTCAGGTGAGGGTCAGAACCATGGTAATACATTCCAATAAGAGCAAGATTATTCTTAGTTTGGGGACTGGAACTACAAGCTGATCTTGACAGCAGTTACTAATTTGTGTAATTTAAGCCCTCAACTCCCCATTCCCAAGAGAAATCCAGTAACAGGAAATTCTCATTTAGGGGGGAAATTCAGTAATGTGTTTTGGGCAAGCTTATTGCTTTGTCTTTTTAAAATGCTCCAATGCTTTTACATGGCTACTGAAAACAAACCTTTAAAGCGTAGAGATTACTGAACATAACAAAGCTGGTAGTCAGGAAAAGTTTACATGTAAAATAAGAATGGTATAGGTTATTTCATTTCTGTAAGTATCACATTCATTTCTTCTCAGATATGCAAGTATGGCTAGAAAAGATTATGTTCTTTGTTTCATGTTATACACTAATAAAATAAATACTAACTGTGAGAAAAAGGTGGGAGTAGGGTACATCCTGACACTTCAAACCTGTAGTCTGATAGAGCGATCTAGCAAGAGCTGACACTAGCTAAATATATGTCTCATTATGTATCAAGATTTTGAATGTGACAATTCTATTTACATATAATTTCATATTTCATTTGACTTCCTTTTCAACAGTAAACATGCAACAGGGTTGAACACCTATAAAGCTGTGGTTCCACTGCAGTTTAAAACAAAACAGGTGTTTTGTAAAGGTCAGTTCTACTATTTCAATAACCTGCTGAGGTTAGTAAAACCTACCTGCTTCCAGATGTCGTTCTGTTAAACAGAACCAGAGCACCTAAAATGTTACCCTGGTAACACTTTCTTCCTAAATTTTAGATTAAAACTCTCACAAAGCATGTATTATGGCATGAGCATCACTTTGTGAGCAAGCATGTATACTTTACTGTTTTGAATCTTACCTAGAGATCTCTGCTTGGGAATTCTTCTCTCCATCAACTGTAAATGGTGATGCTCCAGTTAATAATTCATACATAAGAACACCAACACTCCACCAATCAACAGCCTATAGAACAACAATAATTATGTATGTTATATGTTGAAGCAAAATTGTTTACAGAAGAAGGAACAAAACAATGCACCTAGAAAGCAACTAGGAAAGGAAGAGACCACCTATCAATATAAAGGTCAATCTGGATACAATAAAGCATGAACAATTGCTGTACTGATTGGAGACATTTTCTATGATAAATTATCTTGAAATCTCTCGATTTAGCTTCTTCAACTGATTTCTCAAGCTGGACTCTTTCCATTGACTACTAAAGCTCCTTTTTTTTCCCCTCCCCCTAGAATTACTTTTTTTTTTTACCATTGTGAGGTGATAAGAATTCTAACACGTACTTGAAATAACAGAGGAAACTAAGCTTTGCTAAGAAGTAGTAGAACCTAAGAATGAAACTAAGGGAACTGTCAAAAAGCACAATTTAAGAGCACAGGTCACAGTTAATCAGGGCACTTGAAAATGCTATGGAATTTTATCTTATATTCCCTAGTAACATATGTGATCTTCAGCTTCCCATATACTAATCATATTATTTATATCTCTGATAACTCATAACTTACAAAATATTTCTCTCTTTTAAAAGAAAAGATGCTACTATGAATAATAAAGGAAGCAGTTCAGTTATTTCAACAAAATAATTTAATTACACGTGTTTGAACTTCTCAGTTTTACTTCCATGGAATTTGCAAATCAATGAAACTGAAGCTCTGCTTTACTTATGTTGACAGTATTAATACAATACAGGAAGACAATCCGTGAAGTGATGACAATTTGGCCTCACATTTTATTTCTTTTTTGCTTCAACATATACAAAGTTTCACATATTCAGCCAACAGTGTCTAGAACAACTAGCTGACGAAGTCTCTGTACTGTTAGTAATTATCTTTGCAAATACACAATGATAAGAGAAAACCTTAAAGAAGAATTTTTTTCTTGGCATGTGTTTTTCCAGAAGAAAAGGAGGATCTGCAGAATCAGAAATCAAACTTTAAAAAAAATACACACTGAAATACTAGAGCAAGTCTTAGACAAACAATACAGGTATCTAGAAGAGATTACAAATCAAAAACAATGATTAATGAGAGCTTAGCCTACTAAAGCAGTCTCATTTCCTCTTTAGGTAAGAAGAGTTGCTAGATATGCAGTAAGTATGAAATACACTAAAAACCTTCTAATACTGCATCACATGACATTGCCAATGGTAAGGCAGAGAGTGTGTGGTATAAACAATTACCATCACATAGGTAACTGCAAAATCACTCTTATTTATCAGTGACCATTTCGTATCAAACTGTGAAGCTATTTCTTATAGAATACTGTATGGCTCTGCGCTACACCTAATGAAAGTACCAGACAGAACCAAAAATAACAGAACAGAGATTCCTCTTTAAATCAGCAACAATACTGAATTTGTAAGCACTTGAGAAGACAGAATCACAATTCAAAGTGACTGATCCATTGCAGAGATTCTCTGAAACTGGCAAGACTAAACTAAGAAAGTGCAGGAAAGAGCTTCAATTCGTAAGTTTGTAAAATCCCATTTTTAATAATGACTAGGCAAGCAGTACAGTAGAAAAAGATGCGGAGGTTATATTGGAATACAAAGTAGGTGTGAGACAACGACTAAATGAAAGGACAAAGCACATTCTATTTTATGTTTAATAGAAGAATCAGGGAGGTAATCATCCTGCAGTACTTCAGACTGTCAACTCCCAGCTGAAACACTGTGCCCACTACAGTGCTCCCTACCTGAAGAAATGTACAAGCAAACTCAGACGAAAAGAGAAGCAGAACCCATAGAGAAGAAGAAAGAACCTTCTCAGGCAAAAGTCAGACTGAGTCCAGTTAGTCCAGAAAAAGCAGATGGAGGGTGACATAACATTTTTCCAGTGCTTAAAAAAGGCTGTTATAAGAGGAACTGTGATCAACTATATTCCGTGACCCCCAACAGAAAGACAAGTCAACTCAATCTACAGCAAAAAAAAAATCCGAGAATAAATATTCTCCAAAACTTCTCAGAATATTTAAACTACTAATATTGTAGAATTCTTTTGGGGAGTAGGGTTTTTTTGGTTTCAAATACCACCTCTGAATTATGGTTGTCGTGATCGTTCCCATCAATTACTGACACTAATTCCTCGTGAAACTTGAGCCTCAAGCTAAACAGAATTAAATCTGAGAACATCTGTAACATTAGTAACATTAAGAAGTCACTCCACACTTCAAGAAAGATAACAGATTTCCCTGATGTATAATTTAAAAAATTTATCAGTATTAGCCACAAAATAGTAATTTTTCCACTCTGAACTAAATAGTTTTTTATTTAAAAGGAAACATCAGCTAAGATTTTTTGTCCCGCCGCATGTTTAGAACAAATTTTGAATAGAACACAAATGAGCCTCAATACCTTTATAAATATGCCTTTTGCTTAAGATTAAAAACTGAAAGTACATCATATTGATGTTTTTAACTATATGCAACAATCTATTTTAGGACAATCTGAAATAAGGCATGTTTAAATAAGACATTATCACTTAAGCTGTACAACAGTGTTGCCTAAAGGATAAATTTCTTTTCAGTAATAAACTTAGACAGAACATACCTTATCATGTCCTGTATCTCCTCCTCTTACAATATCTGGAGCCATGTATTCTATTGTTCCACAGAAGGAATATGCTCTCTCATTCTAGAAAAAAACCAAAACAAAACAAAATAAAATTCATGTCAAACAATTATATTATACAAATCACATGGGACAGATATGGCTAACAGTTCCAAGATGCTGGCAGCAATTCTTCTCCAAATAGCTCAGAACTGCTAGCTAAATCGTATTCCATCATATGTAGAGATGTATCACAAAATGCTACAGAATATTTAGTCTTCTACAAAAAAATAAATTGTCATAGGTTTGTGTGGCAGTCTAAGATAAGCACACAAAAATTAACTTTACCATAAGTTTAAATGATCTATACATTTCAGAACTACACAAGATTCCCCAAGGTAATATAGACACACATTCTGAAGGCTGCAATATCAATACTCTAGACAACAAATGAAACCTTTCCATTAAAAAGAGCATTTCATTCTAAGATGTACAATTTGACTAAATTGGATACAAGATCCTTTGGGTTCCCCATATTTAGGAATTTATTATGACCTCTAGAAAAGTAATTTTCTTTCGCAACACACACATATGAAAAACACAACATTCTCTCAAGAAGAGACTTGGAGAGAGACAAGAGAGAGAAAGAGAAAGGCAGACAGACAGAGTTGTAAATTTAATTTTATTCTACACACTGAAGTTATTGTCTTGATTATGTTCAAAAACTAAGCTGCTTTCACAGGCATGTATAATTGTTCCCTGTTAGCGATTTACCTTTGAGGTCAACATGAGGTCATGCTGTACCTTGCTAATGACGAAAGCACATGTGTTTGGGCCATGCAACACTGTTCCTCCCTTATCCTTCAAGCTTCTAGATTTTGGGGAGAGATCCTGATAGGTCCTTTAAAGAAGAGTGTTCAAAAAAGCAAATAGTTCAAAAGTCAGGTTTTACATTTGTAGATTCAGATTGGAGTTTAAAACAGGTTCTATATAAGAGATTGTACTACACTAATGAGAGGAAGCTTCTAAAAGTAGAAATAGTGCTCAGTGCTACCCTGAGGCATAAAAATTAACAGTCCAACAGCATATTCTTAAACTGTATTTATTAAAATGCATATACTGTGACTGGTTTTTGGGGGTAAAATTCTGAATTCAAAATAGTTATAGGCCTCATTTTGTTCAAATATTAACTTGAAATATTAACTTCTGAGACAAAACCATAAAATAAATTTTTCATGATTCCACTTTCTTTTGACACAACTATTGTTTCTCTTTGATTATCTTTTCCATTACCTGTTATTTAAAAGAAAAATAGTGTGATAAAAAGCAAAAACAAACAAAAAATTTCAGAAATTCCTAGCCCTCCGTCCTGGCATCAGCCAATCTAAAGCTATTCATATATCCCTCTGTTCACTTTTTTGTACAGCTAGGAGGGAGGGAGGGAGGAGGGAAGAAGGGGAAGAGGGAAGAAGGAAGAAGGGGAGTGAAAAATACAATACGAAACTGTTCTTCACTTGCTTCCTCTCCAAAGAATAAAGATAATGCAGCCAAGCTGAGATTTATGAAAACAATTTATACTGCTAATATATCAAAAGAAATGGATGAAAACTATTATCATTTAGTTAGCTGCAAATTCAGCAAATCATCTGCAAAAGTATGTCTTTTTTATCCCCACGTTGTGTAATAAAGCTAGGCTACAAGATACTACAGTGACAAAAAACAGACTGTGGAGTTGTATATGGATGTATACAGTGGTACAGCAGAACCTTTATGATCTCAGGTACCTTTTGCTGATGAGAAGGCCCAGGAAAAACATTTCAAAACATGCAGAATTAGTAGTAGTAGCTTTTCTGAGGAACAATTACAATCCTTATTATACACAACTGGTGGTTTTGATTTTCAGTTATATTTACTTTTTACGTTTTTTACCTTTTACAATCATTTTAGCTTTTAATATGAAAGATGGAATTTCTGAAATAATATTTGAAAATTAGTCTTCTTGCTTTCTTAAATTCACGTCTGAGGTATTTTTTGGTCCCTTGCAAAACTCAGTGTTGAAAACCCTCAAAATAGTTTTGTCTGTTTAAAAAATTGGTATTGTATCATTTAAAAATCACTTTTTATACTTAAATTTCAATATGAAAAACTCGTACTGTAAAGCCAGAAACAGGCATTGATAAATTGACAATATTCTGGGATATGTTTGTAATAAGGTTTATAAAAATCTCAACTTCTAATCCACACAGCTAAGTAATTGTATCCTTTAGCTCTTGCTTCCATTACAGTTTAGAAGTAGTCTACTGCTGAAATTCAAGGCTGAACAGAGACAAGAAGAAGAAAGCAGATGATTATCACAAGCAGAGTTCTTAGCAAGAAATTAAGTAGTAAACTGGAACTCTGCATTGGGCAGGAAAATAAATGGACTCACTGAGCATTTTCTTCATAATCAACACTGATTTACCATTACATATACTAGCGTCATACTCCAGAAGCCCTGTTGGAACCAGCTTATGACTGTTATAGGATGACCATCAAGAAAAAACACTGATACCAACTGTTTATAGTTTCTTATTTAATCACACAAAAAAGCTCAGAGGACTACAGCACTCCCCAGAACATTAAAGCCAACTGTCTGAAAGCCAAGCATTCTGACTTGACTACAGATTGACACAGATTTGTCTTCATAAGATGGTGTAGAAAGTCCTGACTTCAGACAGTTGAATTCACAAAATCCAGATACTTCTTTGTTAGACACCTCTGTTTATGTTGTGTTTTATTAAATTACAAGCTCTACCAACTACATCTAGCTGTTACTTACAGCACAGAGTTTTTTATAGTATTAAGTTTCACTAGGAGCACATACGCAAATTTGTTAAATATGCCTCTTATAGGGAGTCACTAATAAGCTTTACTATTACGTATTACATGCAGTTTTAAAACCACTGTCAAAGAACATTACCTCCAATAAGAGTTTCTTTTTTGTCTCGATCTGGCCTCCCCAGTACGAGAGAGACAGGGACAGACTGGAGAGAGTGCACCAAAGGGCCAGTAAGATGATTAAGGGACTGGAACAGATGAGGAAAGGCTGAGAGAGCTGGGACTGTTCCATGTGGAGAAGGGAAGGCTCAGTGGGATCTCATCAGTGTATTTAAATGCCTGAAGGGAGGGTGCAAAGAAGATGGAGCCAGGCTCTTTTCAGTGGTGCTCAGTGACAGGACCAGACGCAGTGGGCAGAAACTGAAACACAGGAGATTCCCCTTGAACATCAGGAAACACTTTTTTACTGTGAGGGTGACTGAGCACTGGCACAAGCTGCCCAGGGAGGTGGTGGAGTCTCTGTCCTTGGAGATATTCATAGAATCATAGAATCATTATGGTTGGAAGAGACCTCAAAGATCATCAAGTCCAACCGTATACCCGATTCAAAAGGCTTCTGGACATGGTGGTGAGCAACTGGCTCTAGCGACTGTGGTTGAGCAGGAAGGGTTGGACCAGATGACCTCCAGAGGTCCCTTCCAACCTCAACCATTCTGTGATTCTGTGACAGAACGTCACAGAAAGTTGTATTTCAACATTCATTTGTGAAATCACATTTCACTTACAGAACAAGTATGCAGCCCAGGTATGCAGCCCCCCCCAAATCTTCAAAAACCACAACCAAACTCCATTTTGTATTTTGCCCCCCAATTTACATTTCATTCAACTTTATAACATAAATCCAAATTCCAGAATCCACATTATTAATACTTTCATATTATGAGACGTAAGACAAGAAAGGAAGTTATTAAACAACAACTGAATTTGGGTTACCTACAGGTGAATTCTCACTGAACATGTACATCTTGCAAATACTCAAGCCTAAGAACTTTTTGCATAATGCAGATTGCTCATTTTCTTCCCTCACTCAGCATGCACGCCTTAAAACATTGTGGTTCCCTCTTCTGAGCTGCAGAGCAGCAAGCAATCAGACACTAACAGAAGGGAACAGAAATGTGGCTAACTCTCTAATAACTCAATATGACAATATCGACTCTGTCTTTAAAAAAGTGTCATTACATTTTTTCCCAATCAGCAGTGCTTCCATGTTTACAGATAAGCTGGAGATAGTCTTCAGTCTCTTAGCACACAATAGCTGATTTCCATTTTTTTCTTTACCAAGTTCAGCATCATTCCTGAATGTTTATGCAACAGCATACTTTTTAGTAAAGGTAGACAATGTGGCTACTTCAAAGTGGTTAGCTGCTCAAGAGTGCAACAACTTTTCATGAAGCCACCGATAAAAAGAGAATTTTGTTAGAGTTCTTGATCAGTTCACCTGGACAGCCAGCCAGTTCACTTTGTTAAACCATTCGTCTGCTCAATTACAAAACCAAGTTATATTCCCTTAACACTTGCTTTTTGAGATGAGCTACACACTCACATTGTGGATGTGCCTATATGTATTACCAGACTGTTTCTAATAAACACTCTGGTACTACACATGGGTAGACCTCTAACTTTTCCCACTCCACTTATAGCAATATAAAAAAAGATACTGCACTGCCTTCTTTCCAAGTTCCTTGCAATCATTCTGACTGATCTGAGCATCCTAGTGATGTGTAACTGATTTAACTTCCCAGGGCACTTTCAATACTGTGTCTCTATGATCCCCACAGCCTTTTCTCCAGATTATCTACTTTAGCATCCCATTTTCCTTTTCCTTCATCAAAAAAGAAAGGGCACAATTTGTCTTCCAATCAGGAATTGTTGACAGCACCTAGCCACCAAGCACCTTTAGGACAGAGGATTAGAATTCTGTGACTGTCCAAGATGGAGAGGTGTCATGTGGATTAGCATTCGTTCTGGAAGACAGTTGCTTCACCAAAGAAATAAACCTCAGAGCAGTGTCATCTTTGCTAAGTCTATGTACACTGACCTTGGCAGGTTGACCACAATTACACCATTTCCAGAGATCACAAAACCTAGCTCCAGAATTCAATCAAAAGTGCTGACAGAAGTACATGGGTCTTGCACCATCATGCTCTTGATGATCTTCTGGTATCATCGCTTGCCCCTTCCTTATAACCAAGGAATGCTAGGCAGGC